GCACATTGATATCGAACGTCTGGTTGCTACCGACCGCTGCATGCATAGCGAACGCTCCGCGGGCCGGTCGCTGTTGATGTCGGTTATGTGGGCGCTCTCGCGCCCACTGGCCAGCCTGCTTGCACTTGGCGCACCTCGTCCTGAGCTTGAGCTGATCAATAGAGATGCGCCTGCGCTGATTCTGCTTGCCGCTGCCCTTGCCCTTGCCCTGTCCACGTCCATGTTTGCCTTTGCTCTTGCCTTGTGGCTTGGAGAAACTTCTGGCCCCTCGCGCATCATGCAACTGGTTCCGGACCCGCTTGCATTCGACCGGGTAGCTCATCGACGGCCGCGGGCCCAGCAAAGCCCATGGCAGGTCCCCCTCTTCAATCACGCCGTCGAGCCACTCCGCATCAATGTAGTATACGCCTTTGATCGCCTCCGAACATGGGATCTGCAGCGTGAACTCGCCATCGCCGCAGCCGCCATCCTCGCATCCGATCACCTCGATGGCGAACGCGCCTAGCTCGTCTGACTTGTCAGTCGTGACCATGTCGATCGGCGGTGGCGGGGATACTGCGCCCTTATCGTCCAGGTCTCCAAAGAACGAAAGCGAAGCCAATCCTGTCGTCTGTCGCGGTAGTCGAGCTCGTCTGTCGGGGCGGCCCAGTCCGATGAGCGCCTTCGCGATCTGCTCGCAAGTACACCCACCATCAGCCCAGCCAATCACCTAATCATAAGACCTCTCATCAAGCCTCGCGAACCGCAATGCACTGTAGCCCTTGACCGTGTCTGGCTGCATAACCTTCAACCTCTCGAGTGCAATGAAATCGAGCCTGCGTCTATTCACGAACGTCGTAAACCGTTCCTTCTTAGGGTCGCGAACACACGTGTAGAGAGCTTTCTCGAGCACCTCGGGAATCTCCTCTTCCTTCAAGTACTGAAACGCATTGTCCAGGCCCTGCAGGATCAGCTCGACCGCATGCAAGTGCAACGATCTCCTCGCATGCAAGTCGGGCCTGACCTCGCACATATTCCTGAAAACCACACCACCACTTTTCTTTTCCTGTAATGTTGTGTTGGCCTGCCATACCAGCAGGTCTCGTCTGTAGCGTCGATACAAAGACTCGTCCGTCGGCTCGGTGAATTGTGGCGGTGGATCCCGATCCACGCGCGTTGAAGCTCCGGTCGGCTCTCCATCTTCTTCATCCCTGGGTTATCCTTGAGCCCCGGGCGGCATGGCGGCAGCAATCTGAAATCTGAAACTGTGGCTGTGCTCGCCCGTTTTCTGATCTGGAAACTGTAGCGTGCGCGCAGCTACCGTGGGGGGAGCCACGGTTCCGCTGCCAACTGAGAGATCTACATCGGAAATAGAATCGCGGACTCTTTTCCACTGCGCAACAATATGACCCAAGCCGGCTACGGAGTGAAATGCCACTGCATGTCAAAACGAGCGTGGCCAACATAGGCCTGCATACACTCATTAAGCTCCAGGAGCACGCAAATCACAAAAACTGCCTCCAAGACGCCCCCCAAGGCCTCTAGATGCCTCCAAGACGCCCCAAAAAAAGGCAAACGAATGCCTACCCAAAACGCTTACATTTGAACAACCATGTGGCAAAAAAATGGATATTCAATAATGTCACTGATTCAAACGTCTTGGGGTCTTCCAAAGGCGCCCCCAAAAGATGGCGTGCAACAGCTACTTCAGCACCTCATGGTTTTAATGGTGATTCACGCGAGAATGCAATTTTCGAAGATCCGAAGATTTCGCAACCGATTTCCACATGCTCATCTTATGACGATGTCTCGAACGAGGGCTGTATCTTCAGCGTGCACGGGCATCCATTCCCATCAGCACCGGGGGCGCCCGGGATCGGCGTTACTGGACGGAGGCCATCACAATCTGAGAACACCGATGGATCCAACTGGATCCCTTTTTTCCGGTGTGCGACAGCGTCGTGGATCCTACTTCTGTCTTGCGCGGATCCAATTTCCCGTGTGTGTGTGAAAACCAATGCACTCCTTCTTTCCGGGAGTGTATATATATATATATACACACTATGATTAAAATTAGCGCGCGCTTCGCGCGCGCTTAGGTTCTAGCGCGTCAGAGACACAGGAATCGCTGTGCGAAAAAATGTTTGAAGTTTGTCTCAACCAAATGAGGACTCCAGTGGCAACACATGCTTGAGGCACCGCCGGGGACGGATCCTGTGTAGTGTGGATATTCGGACCAGCTCTCTGTTCGACCCTCTTGGGCGCGCCCTGGGGCTCTCTTGGGCCGTTTTGGGGGGCCCATTGGGGGGCTGTTTCGGGGCCTCTTTTGGTATTTTTTCGGGTCTCTTGGGGGCCTCTTGGGGCTTCTTTGGCGCTTTTTGGGGCCTCTTGGGGTCTCCTGGGGACTTCTTGGGCCAGAATGCTCGAATCTTCGATTCCTCGTCCCCGTCTTGGCCGCCGACTCGGGGCGTTCTTGGGCGGTTTGGGCGCCTCAGGGGCCGTCTTGGCCCCCTCGTGGGCCGTCTTGGAGACCTCTTGGGGCCATCCTCGACCGGCTTGGGTGCCTCTTGAGCCGTCTTGGACGCAATGGAAGCCCGAAAAGCGAACACGCCAAAAATATAAGTTTCCGTATCGGAAACCGACGATGTTTGCTTATTTGGGGCTTCTATTGGGGTGCCTCTTGGGGCGTCTTCGGGGCCTCTTTTTGAGTTTTTCGGGTCTCATGGGGGCCTCTTGGGGCTTCTGGGGCGCTTCTTGGAGCATCTTGGGGTCTCCTGGGGGTCTCTTGGGCCAAAAGGCGCGAATTTCCGGTTCCTCGTCCCCGTCTTCGACGCCGCCTTGGGGCGTTCTTGGGCGGTTTGGGCGCCTCGTGGGCCGTCTGGAAGCCCGAAAGGCGAACACGCCAAAAACATCAGTTTTCCAATTGGAAATAGACGATGTTTGCATCTTGGAGCTCTCTCGGGGTGCCTCTTGGGGCGTCTTCGGGGCCTTCGGGGGCCTTCTTGGCGTCATGGGTCTAGTCTTGAAAAGCATCGCGAGCCATCAGAACGCGTTTTCGAGCGTTCCGAAGCCATCTTCGGGCGATCTTGAACGGGCCCCGGCGATCCGGCAGGGCTCCCGGCGCGACGGGCCCCACATTTGTGGTCGGGGCTCCGGCCCCTGGCCCCCGGACCCGGTCCCCCGTTATGTGTGTGTGTATATATATATATATCAGTAGTAGTAGTGGTAGTAGTGGTAGTAGTAGTAGTAGTGGTAGTAGTAGTAGTAGCAGCAGTGGTAGTAGTGGTAGTAGTACTACTACTACTACTACTACTACTACTACTACTACTACTACTACTACTACTACTACTTCTACTAGAAATAGAAGTAGAAGTAGCAGTAATAGCAGCAGTAGTAGTAGTAATAGTATTAACAGTGGTAGTAGTGGTAGTAGTGGTAGTAGTAGTAGTAGTAGTAGTAGCAGTGGTAGTAGTGGTAGTAGTAGCAGTAGTAGTAGTAGAAATAAAAATAGAAGTAGCAGTAATAGCAGCAGTAGTAGTAGTAGTAATAATATTAACAGTGGTAGTAGTGGTAGTAGTAGTAGTAGTAGTAGTAATAGAAGCAGTAGGAGTAATAGTAGTAGTAGAAGCAGGGATAGCAGCAGTAGTAGCACTAGTAATAATAGTCGGAGTCGTAGTCGTAGCCATAGTAGTAGTAATAGTAGTAGTAGTAGTAGTAGTAGTAGTAGTAGTAGTAGAAGGGAATAGCGGTAGCAGAAATAACCGTAGAAATGTTGATGGCAGTGGTAGTACCAGTCTTAGCTCGAGTACCAGTAGTAGCACTGGGAATAATACTAGCACTAGTAGTAGTAATAATAATAATAGTAATGGAGGCAGTAGTTGTGGTTATTGCTGGAGTGGTCACAAAAAAAAACAACTAGTGGTAGGAGTGGTGGGAGCACTTGGACTAGCAGCCACAGCCCTAGTATAGAAGTCGTCGTCGTCGTAGTCGTAGTAGTCGTAATAGTCGTAGCAGTAGTAGCAGTAGTAGCAGTAGTAGGTGTAGTGGTAATAATAGTCGTAGTAGTAGTGGTAGTAGTAGTAGTAGTAGTAATAGTAGTAGTAGTAGTAGTAGTAGTGGTAGCAGTAGTAGTAGTAGTAGTGGTGGTAAAAATACTGGTTGGTGCTGTTGCTGTAGTACTGGTCGCAGCTGCAGTAGTAGTAGTAGTTGCTGTTGTTGCTGTAATAGGAATAATAGTGATAGTAATAATAATATGAATAATAGTAAGGCTTGCAGCAAGTGTAACATTACTAATAATCGTGATAATAATACTAGCAGCAGTAGCAGTAGTAGACTTAGTGGTGCTAGTGTGCAGCAATAGTGCTGCCGCACCCAACTCAGTGCTGTGCTACGCAGATCAAAGCGGGACCTCGCCATCCCTGGGGGGCTGCGAACGGCAAAACTGTCGCAACTTTGGAGGATTGCTGGGGGCTCCCGAAGAGTGCCATGCAAGGGCCAAGTGCCAGGGTGCCCAGATAACGCTTCAGGCTTACACCCTGCGAAATGCTTAAGAAATCATGGGTTAAGAAATTCACAGTCTCAGAACTTGAATAAAAACCCATCATTTCTATTAAAATCTTAAGATTTACATTGAAACGTTAAGAATAATCGAGACTCTGGCAGAAAACTTAGGTTTTCTTAAGCATCGCCTAAGGTGTATGGGTGCGCTATCGTTTCGCCCGAAGGGGGGGAGCAGCTTCTTAATGTCTTCATGAGGTTTCTTGTTTCGGGACTTTAGCGTTCTAGGGATCGGAGTGGCGACTGCAATGCACAGAAGGCATCTACACACCACCGCCACCATGCCGGGCCAAGGCGAGGTCAATGGATGCCATGGTGGTGGCGAGGTCATGGTGGTGGTGTCGAGGTCAATGGATGCCTTCTGCGGTTGCAAGGAGAGCCTGCCGAGAGAGCGGGGGCACTTTCCAGAGACGAGGGGGGAGTGTGCCAGAGGCGCAAGGGCGCAAGGGTGCAGTGGTCATCGCCTTCAGGGTCAAAATGGCGGTGTGGATCGCGTCCTCCCGCGGTCCCTCTCTGTCTCTCTCTCCCTCTCCCTCGGGGGAGATCATCGAAAGTCATGAATCCACTTTCTAACTTGTACTGCCTGGACCTCGAGAGGCGCTTGTTGTCCCGCGTCTCTCTCTCTCTCTCTCTCTCTTTCTCTCTCTTTCTCTCTCCCTCTCTCTCTCTCTCGCTCTCTCTCTCTCTCTCTCTCTCTTTTTTCTCTCTCTCTCTCTCTCTCTCTCTCTCTCTCTCTTCCCAAGAATAAAAACACGCATGCGGCATGCGCACATCATGAAGAAAAGAAAAGTGATAAACGGGATCAGGAGTATAAAACAATAAATGGCATAATTCATCCACGTTTACAATAATTTCTTCATCCCCTCCAAATACCCAACCCATCCACAACCTAATGAACCAACAAAAACAATAAGGAAATCTAGCCTCTGGAAGTCTCCGAATGTCCCTGGCGGTCCCCGAGGCCTCCGTAGGCCCAGCCCAGAAAAATCGAAAAGAGCCGCAGCAAAAAACCTCAAAGCATTAATGCTCTCTCCTCCCTCCTGCTCCTCGAAGGCAGCTGACAGCAACGGCCCGGAGGAGGAGGAGCATAGTACGTAGACCCAGGATGCATCAGAATACACCCTCCCGTGCCCAGGTCCTCTCCTCGCAAGTCCCTGCACACACTCCTTTTCATTACGGGAAGCGATCCTTTGAAAGACGAACGCGCCATTGTCATACCTTTCAGGCGAGAGCCTAAAGGAGGAAGAGGAGGAGGAGGAGGAGGCCTGTGACATCCGGCGCCGTGATGCCCCAGACCTCTGGCGACTCGAAAGATCCCCCGCCGGTTTTTCGCAATGTTCGGCCGCCGTTTCAAGGCCCGGGGCATACCTATACAGTCAACCCGTACGATAAGGACGCACGATAAGGATGCAAGGGCCTTGGAAAGCCATGTCGACACTTTGCGGGCGGGGCGCGGCCAGCTAAAGTGGCCGAGGATGGCCCGAAGAGGAAGGATGCAAGGGTAGCCTTGGAAAGTCGCTCGTCCTTACTATGCTGGTTGACTGTATGTCCCTTAGGACGAGGTCGAGAACTCTACAGCCAGCATGCTGGAAGTGTCAGGGCGACCGAGGTCTGGGTGTCGAATCTCGGCGGCGAGCCCGGGGAAGTGAGAAGGGGCGGGCCTTCTCAGCAGAAGGTTCGAAGTCCCCGGGCCTTCTGAGATGTTCTCGAAGCGTTCCCCCAAGACACAGAAAAAGTCTGAAAGGCCAGAGGGCTTCTGAGAAGCCCCGCCGCCTTCTGAGCTCCTTCTCCATTCCCCCCTCGTAGCCGAGAATCAGCGTGTCGCACGGTCGTCTGCCTCGGAAGAAGGACCGTTTTGGTTTCGGAAGGGACTCGGGGTTCCGCAGGTCCCTCCCCCGTCGGTTTCTCGCAAGTTTCGGCCTCCGCTTCAAAGCCCCAGGCCTGTCTCTAGGTCCCATAGGAAAAGGTCGAGAGCTCTACAGCCCGCATGCTGAAAGTGTTAGGACGACCAAGGTCTGGGTGTCGAATTTCGGTCAAGGCCCCGGGGCTATCTATAGGTTCCATAGGACGAGATCGAGAGCTCTACAGCCCGCGTGCTGACAGTGTTAGGGCGACCGAGGTCTGGGTGTCGAATCAGCGTGTCGCACGGGCGTCTGCCTCTGAAAAGAGGACCGTTTGGGTCTCCGAGGGTGCTCGGGGTTCCGCGGGCACCCCCTCTCCCCTTGGGCGCCCCTCGTAGACCTGAGCGCGGATGAGGCCAGTAAACAGCTCCACGTCTCCTGCTGAAGGCTCTTTGTGGCAAGACATCGACTGCACCTCCTCGTCATCCTCGTTGTCGTCGGCATCGTCGTAGTCGTCCTCCTCCTCCTCCTCCTCCTCCTCATCCTCCTCCTCCTCCTCCTGCTCCTCTTCCTCCTCTTCCTCCTCCTCCTCCTCCTTCCTCCTCCCATTCTTCAGATGGTCCTCCCTCTCTTCCGCTGTCCCCGTCACGCCAGCAACGGGTGCCGCACAGTGAAAATGTCCGTCCTCCTGCTCGCCCCCCGTCCCGATGTGAAACGGAAAAAATACACTGGTTCACAATGTGGAAGGTACCAAGGCTCCTCCCTCCTCCTCCTCCCTCCTCCTCCCTCCTCCTCCTCCTCCTCCTCCTCCTCCTCCTGCTCCTCTCCTCCTCTTCCTCCTCTCCTCCTCCTTCCTCCTCCCATTCTTCAGATGGTCCTCCCTCTCTTCCGCTGTCCCCGTCACGCCAGCAACGGGTGCCGCACAGTGAAAATGTCCGTCCTCCTGCTCGCCCCCCGTCCCGATGTGAAACGGAAAAAATACACTGGTTCACAATGTGGAAGGTACCAAGGCTCCTCCTCCTCCTCCTCCCTCCTCCTCCCTCCTCCTCTCCTCCTCCTCCTCCTCCCTCCTCCTCCTCCTCCTCCTCCTCCTCCTCCTCGCCATCATCATCATCATCATCATCATCATCATCATCATCATCATCATCATCATCATCATCATCATCATCATCATCATCATCATCATCATCATCATCATCATCATCATCATCATCATCATCATCATCATCATCATTCGTTTCTGGTCCTTTCTAGACATTGAGGACTTCAGATGCCTCCTGGGACATCTGCGGAGGCCTCCGGAGTGGCATGTAGGCCTTCAGATGCCTCCTGGGACATCTGCGGAGGCCTCCCGAAGGTCACCAGAAGGAGGAGGAGGAGGAGGAGGAGGAGGAGAATGAGGAGGAGGAGGAGGAGGAGGAGGAGGAGGAGGAGGGGGGGGAGGAGGTCGAAGAGGAGGAGGAGGAGGAGGAGGAGCAGGAGGAGGAGGAGGACGACGACGACCACGACAATGACGCAGACGCTGCGGCCTCTCTTCGGCCTGAGCTTGCGCAGCGCGAAGGGGGAGAAGGACGACTGCCTCGACTACGATGCCCACAACGACGGAGACAATCCGAATCGACCCCACGGACGCAAGGTGGGGATCCAAAGGCCCTCGGACATCCTCAAAGAAACACTTGCAGCGGCGCGAGGGCCAACAACCCTAGGATTCAGGGCCCAGCGTGGGCCGAAGAGGCAATGGTGCAGTAACAGCCTTGGTGAAGCACTGTATCGTTGTGATGCAACCACCCAGCCCGCTGGGTTGAGGTGGTATAATGCGTTTTCTCTTCTAACCCCAGTCTTCCACTTCGGAGACCCTCCCCCACTCGACCAACTGCCAACCCGAAACGATGCCGACCTCCCCACACACCCCACCATCCCTGTTGAGAACAAGTGCACGTCGCGGCCCCTCGACAGCTTTACATTGCCTGCTGACAGGGGCGGCGGGAGTGTTCGCATTTTACCCAATGCGCGGAGGCCCTCTGCCCCTGCCACAACCCAATTCAAAGTGCTTGCGGGCACTCATGCCATACATCACGATGGCCACGCCGCCGTTTTTGTGCATTGGTTTTTGGAAAGGATGATGGTGGGAGGGGTCGACGCCTTTCCTGTTGTGTGGTGTCACGTGCACTGGCGCACCTGGCACATTCTGCGCGAGTCGCGCACCTGGCGCGGCTGGAGCACTTGGCACACTTGGCGCATGTGGAGCACGCGGCGCATCTTGCGCACCAGGCACGCCTGGAACGCTCGGGCCCCTGGGGCGCCTGACGCACCTGTGTATGGGGTTAGAGTACAAAGGTACAGGACCCCTGATCCGCTGGTAGAGGAAAGGAGGGAAACATGGATATCTTTTCCTCCTGCACGATCAAAGGTCTGATCGGTCTATTCCAATACCTGAGCCCAAACGGCCAGGCGCAGGAGAGGTGAGGATAAGGAGTATATATGAGGGTACTATACGGGTTCTATTCACACCCCCCGTCCCGAATCCCGCCCGCGAGGGCGGGACTCGGGAACAGGAGAAAAGAACCTGTCACCCTTTTACTCCTCAAATCCTCAGCGCAGTGAGGCAGCTGAGCGCGAAGTCTGCATCGCTTCAGCTGCGCCCCAATCGCGACGGCAGCGTGCAGAAGGAAACGCTGAACGAGATTGGCGAAGGGGTGGCATAGAGGTCTGTCGTCCTCAGTCTCGCCCATCAGCCTGCACATGCGTGCAGGAGGGGAGCCTGCGTCGACCCACCTCTGATACCTCTCCGCAGCTTTCTTCGCGCATCTCCTCAAGGTATCCTTTTCCTGACCAGCTATGGAGCGCTTGCCCATCATCTGGACACGCGATCCATCTGTCATATACCTTGTGATGTCGTCCTGGGAGAGGGTCGTCTTGATCCAGCCAGTGGTTCAACTTCTGGAGGTATGCTAGGTCGCTCTCGGCGGCACCACCTTTGCCGGTAGCACCTACAGCGACAGTGTACTGCCAGCAGATGTCACAAATTGCACCGTCACCTGTGACGACTCCAAGAGATAGAAAACGATCGCAATTCCGACATCGCGCTATATCATGCTGGATCTCTTCAGGGGCCCCAGAGATCGCAAGGTGCCCACGAGATCCCCAGCGTGTGTCAAGGCCGCTAGCAAGGACACGGCCGATTTGGCCCATTGCGTCACGATTGACCTCAGCGGTCGGACGGGAGGCGATCGATCGGCCGATTCCCTCAATCTCGATCCTAGAAAGTCTTTCCCCCGGTAGTCCTGCGTACTCGGAGGTGTCGGTGTCCGCAGTATCAGTAGCACCATGGTGTATGTTTTCCGTGCGGATGCGGGTAGCCTCTGCCTGCAAGATGGCCTCGTTGTCGCCCACCTTGCGGTCAATCTTCTTTTTATCGGCTATGATATGTACCATGGTCTCTTGGTCAGGAACTGCGGAAGCAACACTGCCTGGGTCCCTGGGGATATCCTGCTCGGCGCCTGGATCGTCCTAATCAGGCGCGGCAGGTGTCTCCACCGGCTCCCTCCATACGGGGAAGCCTGGGTTGCCGCGTGTCTGGATGCATTGTGCGAAGAGAGCACGCAACGCATTGAGGGCAGGATGGTTCTGGTAGATAGCGTCATTTGTGAAATCAC